CTAGTATTCGTCCAGCGCCCCTGCCTACAGCGGTATGGAACCAGCTAGTTCCCGGACAGCGTTTGCATTCGAGGAGGATGATCACCCTGACTGAAGGGATGCAGTCCGGAAAGGCGTCTGGCACGGGGTACTGGAGGATGTGCTCAGGATTACTGTTTGATCCAGCACGTAGAACTGTACAGCACGGATGACAAATAAGCAACGTATTACCGGTCCTTAGAATGGCCTGATTTAACGTACAAAGAATAGTCAAAAATACTAGCCGGGGTCAGGGAACACAGAAAGGGACACAGCGATGAGGAAAGCCAGGAGTCAGGATACCAGAATATAGAGAAGTCAATAAACAAAGCCAAAGTCAAAACCAAAACCCAGGTAGAAAACTATAAACAGGAACGCGCCCTCAGACAACCACAAGGGAAACCACGACAGGGCACTGAGCAGGCTGAGAACTGGGCCTAAATACCCCTCCTTTAGTTCTGATAGGCTGTAACCGGCCTTTGACCCCAAAGTCAGTTACCAGGTTTCATTTGCATAATTGCTGCTCAGCATTAACCCTTCTGTGGATTAGGTTGCTGCTCGGCACAACTTTTCCTGTGTGGACAGTAAATGTCATTAATCACTTTTCTCTAAGCGGATGAATACATGACACCAGGTTTAATTTGCACAATTACTGCTCAGCATTAACCCTTCTGTGGATTAGGTTGCTGCTTGCCACAACTTTTCCTGTGTGGACAGTAAATGTCATTAACCACATTTCTATAAGCGGATGAATATGTGACAGATGTACAGCGTCAGCGGGGGCGAGAGAAAAGGACTTGCGTAAAGATGCAACTCTCTGGGAAAAGAGGGCGGGATAAACCACTTTTGGGATGGAAAATGGATTCTGGGACCTGTAGTTAATGACTGGAAGAATCAGTCTTTAAAAGAACAGCCAAGGATGTGAGGGTCCTCTCTTTCTCTTTTTGTCTCCTTTGGAGAGGACAGCGCAGCAAGCAGTGGTGCCATGGTGAACTGAGATAGACTGTCCCAGACTACTCAAGATGCAGGCGCTGTCACAGCTTACCTTAGTTGGGAGTCCGGTAGGCAGAGATTTATGTTCACCCTTGCAATTAAACACAGGCCAAGGTGGTCAGGTAAGAATTCACCTGGCCTGTGAGTCTGTGCAGGATTTTGCTCCAAGTCGCAGTACAGGTAAGGACACAAGCATGAGAATCGTCAATGGTAAGCCAAAGTCAGAGGATGCATGGTAAGAAAGCCAAAGTCAGGAGCCAGGAACAAACGATTTGGAAACTCAAAAACAGGAATCAGACAGCAGAACCAATGAACTGACACTGCCCTCAGCGAGAGGCAGTGTCTTATACCTGGCTAATCAGAGATGCTTTACAGCTGGACCACGATTGACAGGAGCAGTCACAGGTCAAGTCCAGCCCCCAGTGCTAGAGACTTGACAAGGATAAGTTTCAGACCAAATAACGAACCAAGTGGCTCAGAGGCATGAACACAGACTGAGTACCATAAAGCACCCAGGTTCAAATCCCCTGTTGGGCCCTTCTGGGGTGACCTTGTCTGGATGTTGTGGTGAGAACCATGACAGTTGCAAGGGGAAGATCTTCATTTAAATGTTTAAGTATTTCCCTTTTACTATGTATCTTTTGGTTTTGGACTGGATGTGGTTATAATGTGAATTGTTACGGTTGCCCCAGGTTAGCTGAGGGTTGGACCGCCTGGATTTCCTTGTCCCCGAGCTGGGAGAGTGGCAAATTCAGCAACTACCGATATCCCTGGAAGTGTAAAAGGTTTCTGAAGGTCTGAGCAGAGCTGGTGATTAGCATTTCCCTACAACACAAGACGAGGCTGCGAGTTGAGGCGTAAGAAGACTGGTTTTAATGGGTACATTCATCACCCTCATACAAGTTTTTCCAGGCGAGGGAACACCCACTGGACCTGGTGGGGCACTGAAACACAGGTAACATGAACCAATCACAACAAAGTGCATTTTTCTAAACCCTCCCTTCTATCCTGGAGATAATTGGCTTAAGTGGCCGTAGTAACTTAATTATCTCCCGGTACAGAAAATATCTCTAAGTTAAGACTGTAACAAAACCACATTAAAATACATAGCTCATATTATACATAATTCAACCCCCATGTTCGACATATCCCCAGATAGCTTGTAGGTCCCAGCGGTGTTCGTGTAAAACAGTAACCGAAAACAGTTCCACACGGTCGACGACAAACACCGCTGGGCGTTCGGCAGTTTAAAATGGGCGCCGCCACGTGTTTGTTCTTACGAACGACGACCACGTAGCCGTTCGTCAATTAAGCTGCAGTTAACCGCAACCCGCAGCTTCTAGGAAGCTAATAAGCGGCACACTCCACATGCAGGGTGGTCGGTCGTTCAGCATTTTGTTCGGTGGTTTGGGGTGAAAGAGGTTGTAACGGACCGTTTTGCACAAAAGGGGTAAAAAGGGGTTAACAGCCGTTTAGGAGATCTTCCCCTTCCAGAGATACAGGCACAGCTACTGCAGAACACCAAACTCCCGAACTGGATACAAAATAGCACTCCAACTCCCGAACTGGAACCTCCCAAATAGCTGCTAGCAGACGAACAGGAAAAGCAGACAATCAGCTTACACTCCTGGCAATCAGTCTCTAACAGCATACAGTGAATCCCCCCAAGAACGAGACAAGGCTCCGTGTTGAGGGTCAAGCAGTGGTCAGACAGAGCTGTGGGTTTATTGTGCTTATGTACACATTCTTACACATTAGTACCACCCACAGGGTTTTGGAACACAACCAATAAACACATACAATACACTCAGACACTCCCACACAAATTCCCCCCCTCTGCATGTGATTCAATTACCTTACACAATGGGTAATGTAATTTAGAACAAGCAGAGAAATTAACCCCTTAATGACACAACTTCTGGAATAAAAGGGAATCATGACGGAATATTTCCGTCATGTGTCCTTAAGGGGTTAAATTCTTCCACATTATTCATAACTTGAAATTCATTTTATTTATAAAACTTACATTTTCAGAATCAGCATACTCCAAATACAAACATACGTCAAAATCATACAAATTGGTCCAGTGGTTCAAAAGATAGATCGTAGTCCTTTGTGACCCCAGGAAGCATGGCTTTTCTGCCCAAAACCAGTTCCACAGAGTCTTCTATCCTGGAGATAATTAGAAGTAATCCAATTATCTCCAAAGACAGAGGCAAAACTCCATTGAACACATGGCAGCAAAAGGACAGTAAAATACAATAAAATACACAAGGTTACATTTATGACATAAAATACAGACATATGCCCAGATAGCTTAGGTCTAAGCGCACATTATTACTGAATGGCACTCAGAGCATACACATACAGTTCAATTGCCATGGAGCCAAAGTCTTTCCCATAGTCTTTCATTATACGAATGGGCTCCATGGCATAGCTATCTGGGGTATCACTGCTCAAACAGGGCAAGCACCTTGTCTTTGCAGGGGAAAATAAAGTCTTTTAACATGGGGCCATAGTCCAAAGGCAGCAGGCGAGCAACCAGGCTTCTCCAATGCAATGTGGCGAGATTGGTCTCGTCACAGAGGTTAACAAGCCTTAATGGGCCACACATGACTGTTCTTGGGAGTCTTATTGTTCTTATGGTAGTTCGGCATACGAACAGTATAGTGAATTACTTTGTGGTTTAGTTAGATGAAAGGAACAGACATATTGTAACAACACGGCAGACAGAGGGTACTTGTAACATGTATATCCTAAAATCTGTAACAGTATCCTAAATCAATTTTAAAAATACATTTTATTATACACTTGTGTTTGTGTCTTATTTGTCTCACATTCCCTAAAAGAATAACTTTGTAAGAGGGTCATCATTTCTTACACATTGTGTGTATCTGTGTTTGTATGTGTAAGGGATGCAAGGTGTGTTTCTGTGTATGTGTGTGTAAGGGGTGCATTGAGTGTGTGTGTTTGTGTGTGTAATGGATGCATTGTATGTTTCTCTGTGTGTAAGTGACGCATGGTGTGTTTCTGTTTGTGTATAGGGAAGCATGGTGTGTGTAGTGTTAAAGATAGAGTTTGTGGGGTAGTATAGGGGCTGAGTCCTATCAGCCCCTTTGTGCTTCTCTACACCCCCTTCCTCAGCCTCTCTCCCCTCTTATCCCTTACTGCTCTCACTTCTTGTCCCTTAGAGCTCTCCCCTGCCCCACTGTCCCTTAGTGATCTCCCCTGTCCCTTAGTTCTCTCCCCTGTCCCTTTCCCGTAGTGTTCTCCCCTCCTGTCCCTTAGTGCTCTCCCCTCCCGTCCTTTAGAGCTCTCCCCTCCTATCTCCTAGTGCTCTCTCCTATCCCCCCCTGTCCCTTGGTGCCCCCCCTGCCCCCTGTCTTTTAGAGCTGTCCCTTGCATCCCACCCCTACCCTAGTGGTCTCTCCTCCACCCCACTCCCTCCCTTAGTGGTCTCTCCTCACCCCCCTCACTCCCTTAGTGGTCTCTCCTCAACCCCTCCCTCTGTGGCCTCTCTTAACCCCCCTTTTGTGGGGTTTCCATGTGTTTTGGGGGTACTTTTGGGTTATTGTAAAATATATGTTTTCTGTACCTGGAGATAATTGAGTTTAGAACAGTGCCTAACCCAATTATCTCTTAGGCACATGGGAGTGATTACCCTGTTTTGTTTTGGAGTGTCCTGGACCTGAGAGCCAATGTAATTACAGTGTGTACTTTGTCACAGTCCCCACTCAGGTCCAGTGCGGAATGCCCTTGGAATATGTTATGGAAAACCCCTTGCATAGGGACTTGCGTATAAGGCTGCATGTGGCTCCCATTAAACCAGTTCTTCTTCACCCTCAACATAGAGCCTCATCTCATGTGTGGAGGGAACAGCTATATTCACTCTGGGGATTGCTATACTCATTATACTCCCTTGGATTATAATCACTAGCTCTTGTAAGAGCTTTCCTGCTTTACTCTCTGGATTTGGAGAGGTCTACCCACAGGAAACTGGATCTTGGGTCCAGGGTGGATGGAGGACAGCGAGAGCCCAGCCAAGCTGTAACACTGGCTGCGGGGTTTACGGTGGTTATGGTGTCTGGTGGAGTGCTTGGAGTACTCAGTGAGCACTAGGAAGCATCGATTGGTGGAGGCACCCAGTCAGGATGCCAGGCGGTCCGCCACAACCCGATCCTTTCTCACCGACAGGTCAAAGGTGGGGTTCCTCATGCATCAGCTCACTGATAAGGCACTTGAGTGGGCTAATCCTATATGGGAGGATAATGGTCCTCTGGTTCATGATTTCCAAGGTTTCCTTATAGCTTTTCCCAGGGCTAAAAATGCAGCTAAAGCATTGATGAGAATCAAACAGGGATCCAGGTCAGTTGCTGACTTTGCTATCCAGTTTCTTACCTTGGCCTCTCAGGTAGATTGGACAAACAGCGGGCATTTATGGAAGGTCTACCAGATGCTATATCGGATGAGGTAGAGGCCAAAGACCTCTCTATAGCCACGGAGGATCTTATTGACTATATCATCGATATAGACAATATAATTTGTGATAGACAATACACCAGGAATAGAAATAGACGCCTTACAGTATCCGTTACGCCTAAGGTTGAAGTTCCTGAGATTCCCAATGTACCAGAGGTAGAATCTATGCAATTAGGGGTTACCAAGCTCACTGATGCTGAAAAACTGTATAGGAAGAAGGAAGGATTCTGTCTTTACTGTGGGGGTTCGCCCAGAAAACTCTCGCACCTAAGACTGCATAGGGCACCAGCTTTTGGTGTGACATCAGAGTCCCCACGTTCGTTTCTAAATAGACTGCTCCTCCCTTTTTCCCTGCATTTCAACAGTTTAATAGATAAAGGGAAAGTTCTAGCCCTGGTTGACTCCGGTGCGGCTGAGAACTTCATTGATTCCAACTTTGTAAAGTCATACAAGGTACCTGTAAGGGAGAAGGAAACACCCTTGGCCGTTGATGCCATAGATGGTAGACCATTATGTTCCCCGGTGATTACTCACAAAATGGAACCCCTGCATATGTCTACAGGGCTGTTGCATGCCGAAATGATTCAGTTCCAGCTCATTTCCTTAAGAGGTGGTTTTATCAGAGTCCGTACAGATCTTTAAAGTGCAATTTGATAAATACTTGCAAAAACACAACATACAGGGATATAATTTCTAATTAGTGGGGTAATAGCTGCTTGATCTAAGGAGACATCTGACTGCTATTTTGGGCTGAAGATGGAATTTCTTCCGAGTTTGTTGCAAAATTGGAAGCGCTTCAGACTAGGTTTTTTGCCTTCTTTTGGATCAACAGCAAAAACATTTGTGAGGAAGGCTGAACTTGGTGGACGCAAGTCTCTTTTCAGCTATGTAACTATGCCCTTTGGTCTCTGTAATGCCCCAGCAATGTTGCAGGATTTTATCAATGATGTCTTAAGGAAGTACATACATATGTTTGTAATAGAGTACCCGGACAACGTATTGATATATTCACCTGATCTGCATACTCATCACATGCATGTCAAAGATTTTGAAGAATCCTTTTGCTAATGGCGTCTACTGTAAACTCGAGAAGTGTTTGTTTGACCAAGCTGAAGTGCAATTCCTGGGCTATCTAGTTTCTGCTAATGGCTTTCAAATGGATCCCAAAAAGCTTTCTGCAGTTATAGACATGGTTTGAAAGCCATCCAGCAATTTATTGGCTTTGCAAACTATTATAGATGTTGTTACAGTTGCCCCAGGCTAACTGAGGGTTGGACCACTTGGATGTCCTTGTCCCCGATCCTGGAGAGCGGTACAAAGTGCATCTAACGATATTCCTGCAAGTGCAGAGTATTCCTGGAGCTCTGAGCAGAGCTAGTCATCAGCATTTCCCTACAACAAGAGTCGGGGCTGCGAGTTGAGGGTAAGAAGTCTGGTTTATTGAGCAGAAAGGCATTGCTTATATACACATTTTCAGGTCAGGGGCGCACTCCTCTGGACCTGATACAAGGGACATAAACCAATAAGAACAAATTGCATCTTTCTGTACCCTCCCCTCTATCCTGGAGATAATTGGCTTAAGTAGTTGTAGTAACTTAATTATCTCCAGGTACAGGACATATTCTAAAGTTTAATATATAACAGAAACCACATACAAATACATAACTTATATAATACAATATTTAATTTATAGGTCCAACATATCCCCAGATAGCTTCAATCTGAGCGCACAAGATGTCCAAAAAGCGCTCAGATCTCACGAATATAGTGGGAACGCCATGGGGTAAAGGTTTGTCTCCAGGGCCGTTCAGCAAAAGTCAACCCAGAATTAGTTCCACAGTATTCATGCAGAAGGTCGGTCTATCTTTAAGAGTATCTATAACACCCACCTGGGGAATTCGTGGAGTAGATGGAACCCAATTGCAGCGGAACAGCACTCCCTTACTATCACAACCCTTAGGAGCACCTTGGATTGGAGACAGGGTCCTAGAGGGTCTGTGGTGGCATGGTGGCCTTTAATGTATACTAGGATTCCAGGAAGCTGGAGCAAGGAATGAAGAAGCAAATAGCAGTCAGGCAGCAGGCAGAAGTAGTTGATCAATCTGGAGTCAGGTCAGGAAGCAGGCAAGAGCAATCATCCGGGGAATCAAGGATCAGGAACCAGGAACATAGACTGAAAATCATGGCAATAGGCAGGTATATAGCAATAAGCAAAATAACCAAGCACTCACTGGAAGGTGTGCTGGGTTTAAATAGGTGGCTGGGATCACTTGACCGGCCACCTCCCACCAGAAGGGGAAGCACATAGGGGTTATGTAAAGAGGTCAGGGACTCGGCGTCATCTTGCTTTACACCATATTCCCTGACCTGTTCCTCCCCTATGGATCTGCAGCTCTCCTCCTCCTCCCTGTGTAGAATGCCAGGTCCGCATGGCGGCCACCATCTTGCCGCGACGGCATGCTCGCCACGGACATCGGCGGTGAGAGGAACAGAAGCCGCCACAGACCGGGAGGGGGGTCTCCGGGAGCGGCGAGTACCGCAACTCTGCTGCGAGGGCGGCGCGGGCGCCCAGGGGCAGGTGAGTACCCGGCCATGACAGAGCCCCCTCCCTAGGGTGCGAAATAGGCTTGGCCGACCAGGGTGTTTTCTGTGGAAAGCTCTAATTTTGGCAGGTGCGTTCATTATACAAATATATTCGGGGCCAATACAAACCATTGTGTGGAAATCTATTCACAAACCGGACTTTACATAGGACACGAGGACATGCGTTTAGACTGGAAGAAAGAAGATTTCGTCTAAGGCAAAGGAAAGGTTTTTTTACTGTAAGAACAATCAGGATGTGAAATTCTCTGCCTAAAGAAGTGGTTTTATCAGAGTCCATACAGATGTTCAAACAGCTACTAGATGCATACTTGCAAAAACAGAATATTCAAGGATATAATCTTTCAATGTAGGGTAATAACTGCTTGATCCAAGGATAAATCTGACTGCCATTCTGGGGTCAAGAAGGAATTTTTTTCCTAGCTCGTTGCAAAATTGTGCTTCAAACTGGGTTTTTTGTCTTCTTTTGGATCAACAGCAAAAAAAGCAAATGTGATGAAGGCTGAACTTGATGGACGCAAGTCTCTTTTCAGCTATGTAACTATGTAACTATGTAGACACTCCTGGCCGGCTCCCAAGATCATTCCTCTGGACCATAGCCTTTCCAGTGGATGACTCCTACGACATCTGGAGTCGAGGCTCTCTTGGACCTCATATTCATTGGAACCATCAACAACCACTGGAGTAGGTTGAGCAACATTACATGAAGAGAATCGGTCGGGTTTCCAGGGTTTTAGGAGGGATATATGGAAAACCAGATGTAACTGATAGGTGGAAGGAAGATCGAGACGGGCAGCTACAGGAGATAAGATCTCAGTAACAGTGAAGGGACCAATGTAGCGTTGTCCCAGTTTCCATGAAGGACAGGACAAACACATATGTTGTGTGGATAGCCAGACTTTGTCCCCTGGCACATAGGTAGGTGCTAGGGACCTTCTTTTGTCAGCATATCCTAGCGTTGTTGTGCTACTTCCAGGGTTTGTTGCAACATACGTCTTTGTTGTGTGAGTCTGTTCAGGCGTGAGGCTAAATCGGGCACTGTGTTAGGACAAGGGAGTTCAGGAAAAGCACAGGGATGGAGACCATAGTTAGCAAAAAATTGTGTCATCTTGATGGAATGATGTTTGTGATTATTGTAGGAGAATTCTGCAGTGAGCAGTACAGATAGCCAGTCGTCCTGGAGATGCGTAGTGAAACAGCAAAGATATTGATCGGTTTGATTGGTGCGTTCCGTTTAGCCGTTGGTTTGAGGGTGGTAAGCTGAGGATAAACAGCGCTGAATACTTAGGTGACAACAAAAATGGGTCCAGAAATGAGAGGTGAATTGGGTACCTCGATCAGTGATGATGGATTGAGTCAGTCCATGTAAATGGAATATATTTTGTAGGAATAAGGCGGCAGTCTTAGCAGCGGATGGAATTCCGATGGAGGGATTCTTTGATCCAGGGCGGTAGGTTATCTGTAGGTTAAATCTAGAGAAAAATAATGACCAGCGGGCTTGGCGTGGACGTAATCTCTTGGCAGCCTGGAGGTATTCTAAGTTGCGATGGTCTGTGTATACTGTGATGGGTAAGGGAGCTCCCTCAAGTAGGTGGCACCATTCTTCTAAAGTACTCTTGACAGCAAGAAGTTCTCGCTCACCTACATCGTAGTTCTTTTCTGCAGGCGATAGTTTATGGGAGTAAAAGGCCACGGGGTGTAGTTGGTCGTCTTTCTTGCTTCTTTGGGAAATAATTCCTCCAATCGCAATATCGGAGGCGTCTACCTCAAGTAGAGAAAGCTTTGGTAGTATCGGGTTGTATGAGGATAGGAGCTTGGGTAAAAAGTTTTTTTAACTTTGTAAAGGCGTCTTGAGCTTGGGTGGTCCATGCAAACTGTTCCTGTTTCTTAGTTAAGGCTGTTATGGGAGAACATACTTGGGAAAAACCTTTGATGAAACGCCTGTAGAAATTGGCGAATCTCATGAATCGCTGTACAGATTTTTTGTCTTTGGGTGTTGGCCAATCTAAGACAGCAGTGACTTTGCGAGGATCCATTTGAATCTGCCCAGAAGTGATTACGTATCCTAGGAACTCTATGGATTCTGAATCAAAAAGACATGTCTCAATTTAGCGTATAGCTCATGTTCACGAAGGCGGAGAAATACC